GCCTTTGCCTTGGCCCTGTAGTTAATTTCTGTCTTCCAGCAAGGCTGAGATCAGCTGCTTCATTTCTAACTTAGACCACCGTACAGAGTAGGCTCCTAGCACTGAGGTACTAACTAGTGTGATTACATGGTCTTGTCACATAGCCACATTTGTCCAGTCAATTTTGTGCTGCATTTGTTTTGAGGTAGGGTCTCACTATGTAGCTCAGGCAGGCCTTGAACTCACCGTGTAGCCCAGGCTGGCCTCAAACTTGGTGCTTTGAGTGCTGGAATTACAGGAGTGAGCTACCATACCTACCTTATGCTGTCAACTCTTCCACTTGCTTTTCTGTCTGTGCGTGTCCACAGTGCCCGTGAATGTTCCTTTTTGCAGCTGATGCTCAGTAACTTGGCTTAGGGGGTGTGGAAAGGTCATGCGCATAGGCTGTGGGTGGCAGTCAGGGGAGAAGGATTTCAGAGTAGAGCTCACTTTGTACCCAAAGCTCTGGGAGAAGGAGTCTCTCCATTTCATGGTGACTTCTTCTTTCAAATACAGGAGGAAAACTCCTGTCAGTGTATAGTCAGTTTCTGTCTAGGTTGACAGGTTCTGGGAATGAGGTGCCGCAGGTGAAAAGAAAAACAAGAGAGACAAAATTATGGGATTAGGGGGCTTCAGCGTCCAGCACTGTCTCATTGATTACAGTCTTCTTCAGCCTTTTATTGGGATACAAACAAAAAGCAACAGGGCAGATTGGAGGAATCATTAACAGGATTAGCAAAGACAATACAACTTAATTATCACAGGAGTGAGACTTGACTTAGCCATCATATCTTCAGCAAGGCATCTGGTGTTGTCCCAGCGGATTTCCACAGGGACACAGGTCCTACTATCATTTCCTTTTATACCAGTGCTTTTGCTAGACTTCCTCCAGAACCAAACAATCATATGGCTTGGTCAGGCCCAAAGTCCCAAATAGGTAATACATTGAAAGATGAACTAAAGAATGTCCTTCTCCACAAACTCTCAGCCAGCTGCAGGCACATACTCTTCTCCTTAACCGTGGCCTCTGTCCCGACATGGCCCCTGCACCGTGTTCCATGTTTTCTCCCCATCCCTCGAGCTGATCTTGTCTCATGTGGCAAGGGAATAGAGCACTTTGATCCCATCAGGTAGTTTAAGTCTTCTCTTAACAGGTGGGTGCTTGACCTCAAGGTTTTTCTCACAGTCCATCTTGTGAAATCTTGCTTTTATAAGTTATTTTGTGTCTCTTCAAATATCTTTTTTGTTGTTTTTTTTTTTTGTTTGTTTGTTTTCTGGTACTAGGAGTCAAACTCATGACCTTGCGCTTGCCAGGCAGGCGCTGTGCCACTGAGCTAAATCCCCAGCCCCCTCAAATATCTTTATTTCCCAAATTATTTGGAACCATGACCCAGTCAGAAGGCTCTAAAGCTGCAGTGTGTGCACAGGCTTGTGTGTGCATGTGAGTGTGTGCACATGTATGTATGCTGTGCACCTGGTTCTGTCTGTTCCTTCAGCGGTTATTTCTTTAGTAAAATGGTGAGCACTGGAAAAGATTCAGGCTTGGGCCCTAGGATGCGTCCCTCCTTGTCCTCAGCCTGTTTCCCACCTATGAAGTGGCCCTGATGCCAGCATCTCCTGCACATGATGGGCATGGAGATTCCTGGAACCAATCCAGAGCCCTCGGCCCAGGTGACTGTCACTTCTAGACTTTCTGTAAAAGTTTCTAACTTGTTTTTTGTACTTACTCTAAAGAGAATTTGGCTGAGGATCTTCAAACTGGACTGCTGATAACAATAGCAGCGCTCTCTGATCCAGATGTCCTGAGTTCATCCTGGTTTGCAGATGGACTGCTCTTCTGGACCTGCAGAACCTCATATACCTCTCAAGACTATCTCTGCCAGACACCATGAAGAGGGAACCAGCCTGCCTTTCCGAAAGTTCTCACACTCCGACTTTACTTTTCTCTTGTAGCTGATGCGTTTTTCAAGGCTGCTATAAGTCTCATTCCAGAAGTTCCAAAGATGATAAATATTGATGGAAAGATGCGGCCATCGGAATCATTTCTTCTCGAATTCCTCTGCAATTTCTTCTCTACCTTACTGGTAGTTCCGGTATGTTTCCTCATGATATGCAGAGGTGATGTCATTCTTTGACCTGCCTTGTTTATTTCTAAAAGTTCAGGATGGCTGATTATACATACCTATAGTCCCAGCACTCTGAGAGGCTGAGGCAGGAGGATTAAAAGTTCCAGCACAGCCTAGACTATCAGGTTAATAATATCCCTTAGTTATTGCAGTTTGCTGAAAGAAGAAAAGTGTGTAATATCCATTTGCCAAATAATCACATTTTAAGCCTCTGGGGTTACTGCCCTCTTGTGGCACAGGCATAGCAACCTTTTGACAAGTAGAACAGGACATAACAATTTGTCTTGTTTGAGATCTGGATAATTGAAATTCTTTGCCAAAGCCTTACTATTTTGATGATGGTATGAATGAGATTGTCTAGCTGCATCAAATGGAGTAGTAAAAGCAATTAATGAATCAGCTTGCTGATTCCCATTGTTAAAAATCCAGGTAAATTAGAATGAGACCTTATGTGACCAATATAAAAGGATACCGTTCCATTATGAATTGCCTTTTGTAGCCTGAGAAGCAAATAGAGGTGGGTCTAAAATTGACCATAGGGTGGCACTCTCAAGTCTTTGAGTAAGGTAGACTGCGTAGGTTGAATCATTAATTATGTTAGTAGGTTTAGAGTTAAATTTTTGTATGACAGAATAGCAGTAATTTCAGACCTTTGTGCAGAAAGTCCTGGAGTCTCTATTACCTGTTGATAACCCCTACTCCCAAGTGGCGGCCTTGCTCTTTGATGAACCATTGGTAAAATAGATTACTGCATCAGAAATAGGTTCAAATTTGGTAATTTCTGAAATAATACAACAATGCTTGAGAAAAAATTGAAAGATAGGATCACTGGGAAAATGATTATCAATTTGTCCTATAAAATCTGCAGATGCTACTTGCCAATATAGAGTTTATTGTAGTAGAGTCAAATATTTTTTTTTTTTTATTTTAAAGAATAAAAGAAGGATAACATAATAATAGAGGGGACTTAGCAAATTACAGACAAAATGGTAGGAAATTATCAATGGTTATCATTTTACATATTACTGTCTACAAAATAGTTTCTCAGGAAAACAAATAGACAAATAATAGTGAGTTACAGAAAAAAGAGGTAGGAGATTATCAAGAGTTGTTGTACTATACTTTGGTATCTTCAAAGTGGCTTCTAAAGAAAATAAATAGAGCTATACATGAGTGACCTATTGAAAAATCATTAACTATTCTCAATGGTTGTTGTAGGAAACACATAATAATAAACATACATCCAGTTATGAAATAGGATAGGAACATTACAAACTTTACACAGTTATGGATAGATTAGTAGGAAAATATCAATGGCTGCTGTAATACGTGGTGGTATCTTCAGAGTGGTTTCTCAGGAAGACAGAGATATGCAAGAGGGACCTATTAAGGAGTTACAGCCTAAGGGTTGTCAAAAATAGCATATTACCTCCTCACCAGTGACTCCTTTCACTGAGGTATGATGGCTGGAAGGAAGGCCAGGATTGAAAAGAAGGACTGAGAGACTTGCACCTGTGTCTAGCAACAGGCTGTTTTCTTGTTCCTCCGTAGTCATGATTACCCAGGGCTCCTCGATGGAGATGACGGTCTGGCCAGAGGGAGAAGGCAGACCATGCCCCAAGCCCTCTCATTCCTGTTGGACTAACTGGTAGCATGGGTCTGATCTCTGGGGCCTCCACCTCAGAGGGCAGACCCATCTCCAGTGGTCTCCTTTGCATCCAGGGCATGGCCCATGGGGCCTCTTAGGGCAGTTCCTCTTGAGGTGGCCTGGCTTTTAACAGTGGTAGCAGATGAATGCAGTTGTCGAGTTCTTCTTGGAGCCCCGGGAATCAGACCTGGGATCTGTTTCTCTTAGTGGTGCAGCAAAAGCAGCTGCTTTTTCTCGGTCAGTAGAGTCAAATATTGATTTAAATCAATAGGCAGTACAATCACAGCAGGATCAATACGAAAGAGTTGTTTGGATCTTGTCCTTCCCACAGTGACAACCTTGGCAGCTTCTTCTAAATATAATTGCAGGGTTTTGATTAACTGATTAGAAAGGTAAAGCCACTCAATAGGATAACTTTGCTTATCATAAAATTGTGCTGTAAGACCTTCGGGAGAATGAGGAGTATTTAAAATATAAAGTATAAAAGGATAATTTGTATTTATTCTAAAAACTTGATGCTGTTGTAACATTTTTTCAACCAAAGCTAGTTCCTTTTGAGCCTCCCTGTTTGGGCACCAATTATTGGGTTAACAATACCTGTTAGTTATTGTGGGCTGACCAGGTCCACAATTTCCCCAACAAGTGTACTATGAAGGCTAAAAGAAGCCAATGAAATGATTTTAGGGCTGCAGGAGGATCAAAGCCGTCTCACAGAATTTGAGATTCTCTCAGAGCTAAAACCAAGACCTTCTCTGGGTGGCCCTAATTTATTTGGTTATCAGAAGGAGGAGGAGAGTATGTCAGAAAGCTGGAACTACTCAAGGATTTCTCCAAGTAAGGTATTAAATTAATCCACCCAGGAGTGAGGTGCCTGAGGCTATAGGCTTTTATCTAGTTGAGATAGGATCCAGGTGTCCTAGGCTGTGATCTTGTCTTATCCCTTGAGACTTTCCACTGTATCTGCTATTACAGGCTTTAGTAGGGAGTAGTGACTCACAGAGGTTCACTTTCTATGAGTCCATTGACTGTCTGCAGAAAAGGAGCCTAGGCCTTGGACAGACTCACAAGTAAACATGAAAATCCCATTGGTTAATTTAAATCCTGCCCAGGGCTGCTTCGTAGTGGTCTATATCACTAGGCCATTTAGGAAGACCCTGTCTCAAAACACAGGGCTGGGGCTGTAGCTTCGTGCATGGGCAGGCCCCGGGTTCAATCCCTAGTACCATGAAAAACAAAAAAAAGAAAACAAAGTGCAAGATGTTCTATCTACTGTGTGTTAGTTTTCTGGTTAGATGTTTGAGCTGTTAGTGAATGGTGCATTCTGCTGGGTCTTGGCTGGACCACTTTGAGTACTCTGTGCTGGTCACTGTGAGTTGACTGCAACAGAGAACTGTGAGCTGGCTCTTCTGTGGAAACCGGCAGCTTCTATAACTTACATCTCTCGTGGTTCTGGGGGCTGGTGCCCAACATTGGGGTGTCAGCATGGTTCTGTGGAAGAGCCAGGGCAGCCCTCTGGCCTTTTGGGTCATTGGTCATCTGGGACTTAATTACTTCCTAAAGCCCCACCTCTAAGTTCTGTCACATGGGATTAGGGTTTTGATGTATAAATTTTGAGAGGACACAGATGTTTGGTCTGCGCCCTCTGTGTTGCTAAGGCAGGATGCCTGATGGTCAGGGTGCAGCCTGGGGATGGCATGGCTGGCTGGAGTCCAGCTCCTCTTCCTCCCAGCTCTGAGGTCGTGGCAGGCACATTTCTGGGCTGCAGCTTCCTTGTCTATAAAGTGAGAGGAGTAATAGTTTATACCTCTCTGGCTTGTCATGAGGACTGGGTTAGTGAATGTATAAAATGTGATCTCATAGTATGGCTCAACATGTAGTAAGCAATAAAAAAACTATCTAGTGGTGACATTCTTCATACAGAAAGTAACAGAAATGAAAATGTACTAGCAGGGTTTGAAAGAGTGTTGTTGGAAGGATGCTGGTTTTTGGTGGATGTAAGAGGTGAGCAGCCAAGCTTGGGCTGAAGGAAGTCAAAGCCTTCAGGGAGCAGCAGCAGCAGCAATCCTGGAGCCTCTGCTGAGCTGGGGATCTTAGGATCTTAGCTCAAGGTCCTTACACTGGGATCTACCTGCTCCCTGAGGGTCTGGCAGAGTGACCATGAATTTGGTGGAAAAAATGACATCTTTATTCTCACAAACCTCTGAGTTAAGTTTGTCTTTCACCCAGTTACAAATTAGAGGCAACAAGCCACAGTAATCATGGCAAGAGCTGGGGCTTTTTTTTTAATTTTAATTTTTATGAGTGCATGTTTGCAGTACACGCATTCATCATGGGAAGCTGGTACACAAACATAACTCATCTTAATTCCTTTTTTCACCACCCTCCCACCCCAAGTAGCTGGGACTTTGTCACCAAAGAAATCAACAAATATGTCCTTATCACATTACATGCGCGAAAGACATTTTGAAAGAGACACTTCTTTCCTTAAAAAGCATCCTGGTAGTTTATCTTTGTGTCAGGCCAGCAAATGCATTCACAAAGAATCAACAGACGTGTTGATTTTTCCAGTGTACAAATGCACTGGAGAAAATATTTTCACAACTGTATTTTAGTGTACTTGGTTTCCTTTGTAGTCTTCCATGTTTCATTTTCTGTATTGGAAATATTCCCAGGAGTCCCTGCCATAGGTTTTACCTGGCTGGTACAGGGTTGGTTGCATAAAACACGTTTAAAATCCCTCTAGAGTATACTTGAGCCAAATATGGATCTGAATTATCAGACACTTATAAAAATGCAGATTCCTGGGGCCTGTCCCAGAAAGTGTCCCTAGGAGGCCAAAATAGTCCTCAAATCAGCTTTTTTGGAAGCTGCCTCTTCAGTTCAGAAGGGGATCCTAATGCCATCTTGGAGAGGTGTCATACTGAACTTGGGCCAGAAAGTGACTCAGCTCCCAAGAGTACAGAGCTCCTTTTTAGGGTGATGAAATATTCTACCATCGATTGTGGTAATGACTGCACAACTCCCAACTGCTCTCACAGTCCTTGAATTGTGCAGTGGAAACAGGGGTATTGTTTGGTATGTGGATTATGTTTCTCAGGAAAGCTGAGAAAACAAATAGTGTCTCAGCTGTGGGCTCTCCTTGTTCAGGTTCCAGGTTCTGAGGGGAGAGGCTCAGGAGGCCTCAGACCAGGTCTGTGGACCGAGCCACAGGTGGAGGCTGCTCCCAGAAGGAGGGGACAATAGCCAAGTGGGCAAAGCCACGGGGCACCTCTAGAATTCCATGCTAGGATGCTTGATTCCAGGGCTTTTGCATCCCTGGAATAATAAAATTCTCTCTTTTTTGGGTAGTCTAGGTTTTTGTCATGTGGAATGACAAAAGGAAAAAAACTGGAGTTTCCAGTGAGGCAGTTGGAAGTAATGAATTGGGATGTACTTACCGGCTGCACATAGGGTTTTCTGCCTGGTAAAAATGACGAGTCTCTCTGAAAATCTCTATCCTCAGAGTCAGAAACTTGGCTTCAGTCCTGACTGACATTTTCTGCCTATGGAGTGGTAGTTCCCCTTCGGCCTCCCGCTTCCACTGCAGTGGAAGGATGCCTGCATCCTTCTGATTCTATTCATTTCACGATTGTAGATTCCTCATCTAAGTGGACTCATGTAGTATTTGTCCTGAAACTGGTTTATTTCACTTAGCGTGATGTTCTTAAGGCTCATCCGTGTTGTTGCATGTTGCAGGTTTTATTTTTTAAGGATAAACAGCATTCCACTCGTGTATAGGCCCCTTTTCCTTAAGTATTCATCTGTGGAAGGAAGACAAGGCAGTAGTTTGCTAGGTACCTGGGGAGCACAGAGGGCACAGCGCACACCCAGGACTGGCACAAGTGCGGGGGGAGGTGCTGGAGAGACACAAGCCAGCTCCACAGTAAGCAGCAAGCTGACAGTCAACCCTGTCTGCCCCTACTCAGCACCGCTCTCCTTTCCCGTTCCCATTCCCAGTCCCATTCCCATTTCTATTCCTCACGCTCTTTACTTCTGGCTCCTTTGCCAATAGGCCTTATTACTTAACCAACATGTAGATCTCTTACAGTGAACCGGCCAGCAGTGCACAGTCACTCAAAACAAGCTTGAAATGGTGTGCATTGCACAGAAGTGGAAACTGAGGCAGAGAGGTAAAGGTCCCGAGGTAGTGAGTGACCTTGCCAGGATCCAAAGCCAGGATGTTTGTGCTCTTTGCTGCCGTCTCTGCCATTTCCCACATTGGCTGTCTTGGGAGGTCAGTCGTGTCTCAGGCTTGCTTGCGGGGTGTAGTGGGAGGATTCTTGCAGACCACAGGAGACAGTGGCTCCCAAGTCAGCCACCTCATCGCATCCGGCTGTCCTGCCCAAAAGGCAGCCTTGCCTGCGACACCAGGGGAGCCCTTCTCAAATGCAAGACATTTTTCTTCTCATTTTAAAAATTCCATTCTGTTTTGCTTCAGTTGTTGGCACTGAACCATCAAAAGAACATTTAAAAAAAATATTACAACTACTGAAGCATGGATATCACATAGAAAACTTTTTCCTTGTACAGCAAGTTGGAAATAATCTCCTCTTTGGTTGTGAGCAAAAGCTCATGGAACTGGCTTGCTGTAAACTTTTCCTTCCCCGCTGACCCTTGCTCCATCTTTTTGAAGGTGTGTCGAATAGTCTACAAGGGTCATGGCATTTGGGTTAAAATCAAGTTGCTAGAACGTTTAGATTGTTGTCTGTTCCCAAGGCAGATCGTTAAATACATTTTTGAACATCCACATAGCAGAACAAAATAGCCTAGTTAGAAACAGCTGTGAGTAGAGGCAGCCGGCAGTGAGCCGCCAGCTGGGCCTGCTCTAGATGGAAGGTTCTGTGGCTCGAGCAGTTTGCATGTGTGCTTCTGTGGCCTTCAGACTTGTGAACATCACATGGCCTCCTCCTTGCCTTATCATGGGAGTGGTCTCCAGAGATGTGACAGCAGAGCACCTCACGCCCCTGACACTGTTCTTGTGCATGGACAGTGTCACCTTTGCGTCTGGATGAAGCTGCTGTTCTTTTCCAGCCCCCGCAGCAGTAGCATTTCTCATGCTCTGTGTCTCCTCTCTGAACAGACTTGCTGGGCATGGTGGCACGCACTGTAATCCCAGCACTCTGGAAGGCTGAGGTGGAAAGATCTTCAGTTCAAGTCCAACCTAAGCAGCTTAGTGAAACTCTGTGTCAAAAATGTTTTTAAAATGCTAGGGGTGTAGTTAGACACCCCAGTAGTGAGGAAAGGGGGGATCAAATGGCCAAGTCCTGGGGACAGAGGTCCCAGGCAGAAGGGAACATTCATTCAGGTAGGAAATCAGAGCATCCCTAGTATTTGTGTGGCTCCCTGGTGGGATGGGGACACTGGACTTGGGTCTGTGTCCGCTGGCCTTCCTTCTGGCTTCCAGCCTGTTTAGCCAACAGGAGGCAGGGAGAGTGATGTTAGGTGTACCCGTGCCCCAGCACTCCTGTGCCGTGCTTTAGCAGTGGCTTTGTCCTCCTACCTTGGGCCACATCTCTTGCCAGGTGGCCTCCAGCTACAGGGGCTTTAGGCTTCAACAGTGCCATCCCATGGTGTTCTTTCCATGTGGATAGTAATGGTGCCATGCCCTACTGCCTTTCTTCACCACTTTGCTTTACACTGGTCTGGGGTCACATGTACCCTTTGTTATACCTTCCTCATGTGAATGGTTGGAGTGCCTGCTGGGCCCCTAGTGGTGTGGCTGGATGGAATGAGGGGACTGTTCGTGTGGAGCCCATATGGGATGTCCAGCAGGGAGCCATGTAATTGGACACATACCTTTCTGGAACTGCGTGGAAGCTGCTGGCTCTTGTGCCTTGTGATCCTTTTTTCAGATGCTATGTAGAGTCTGAGACTCAGGCCAGTTTCCCAAAAGAGTGTCCACAATTTGACTGTCACCACTGGTGAGCATCCTGGGGTGCAGGGCTATATTTAAAGTGAGTGCCTCCAATGTGACAGTGATTGTTTGGGGCTTACCCGGGGGTGGCTTCTGCTGTCCCATTTGCTGCATGACTCACAATCTTGCTTTTATAGTTGACAGAACAGGACCTTTTCTTACTGCTATCATAGAGAGTAATTCTAGAACCAGGCATTATTAGGTTCATGGTACCTGCTTTCTCATCTGTCAGCCGCAAAAGGGGTTGACTAGGGTTTAAACAACTCCTTGTCGTTTTCTTGTGTCACTTACCCAGGCTGCCTTTGCAAAGTGACTGGTACTGTCTTCTCTCTACAGCTGCTAAAGGGAGGGTGTTGGGTTTCTGTGTTGATTTGGGTTTTCCTCTTCCTACCTAGGAGTATTAATCCTGTTTTGCTTCTCCACCAGGATCATCCTGAACACGGGGTCCTGTTTCTTGTTAGAGAGCTCCTCAATGTGATCCAGGACTACACCTGGGAGGACAACAGTGATGACAAAATCCGCATCTACACCTGTGTTCTGCATCTGCTGTCCGCCATGAGCCAGGAGACCTATCTGTACCACATAGACAAAGGTACCAGACTCCCTGCTCCATGCTTGGGTTTCATGGAAGAGAGAATGTGTTCATTATCTCTTATTTTCCTTTCCCCTGGTATTTGCGCTACCATGAACTCCTAGTCAGGTGATTTGCTAAACTTACCTGTTCTCTTCCTGCCTGAGGATGTATGTTTCACAAGCATGTGAGGCATTTTGACTTCAGCCGTGCTTGGAGCAGCACTCTTTTATCACTGTGCTACAGACTGACCTGCAGTGATGGCTTAGTGTTCACAGGGAAGCGCTTCATGCCAGGCCCCTTTCTAACCTGTCACCAACGGGTCCCGGTACAGGTGTTTGTCGCCTGTGTGCTGGTGATATTGAGGCCCTGCCAGCCCTTAGGTCAGGGCCAGTGGAGGAGGGAGATGGCCATTTAGAACTCACTGGTACGGGTTTGGAAACAGCCTCGCCATGCCCCCTATGACATGGGACAGTCGTTAAGCCAAAGCTTGTCCCTCTGAGCCTTTGTGTCCTCCTTGTCAGACCTCAGTTCTAAGCTTTGGTTTCTGAAAATGGCTCTATCATTAAAAGTGCTTTGGCCAGTAATTGTATACTCTAGGGTTTAAAAAAAAATCTCTATACATGGAAATTGCAGTGACCAAATTTTCAGTGCTAGGAGATAGCCTCTTGGCAGAATCCTCAGGCTGTGTCTAGCTGGGATTTGGGCGCTGATGACACAGATGTGACTTAGGTTGGCCAGTGTTAGAGAATGGCCAGGGGATGCACATTTCTCTCAGGTGGACCCTAGGAGGGGAGTTACTGGCTGATGGGATTTGCTGATGTTCAGCTTCAGTACGTGGTACCTCCCTATCTTCCCAAGCAGTTACACCAGCTGATGCTTTCACTGGGCCTAAGTGAAGGTCCATTCATTCTACTTTTTTTTTTTTTTTGGCAGCAGAAATCAAACTCAGGACCTTGTGCTTGCCAGGAAGGCACTTGCCTGTGCCATTGAGCTATATCCCCGGCCCCACCATTCATTCTGTTGATACAGTTGCTTTCAGTGTGGTCACTATGATGAGGAACCTTGCGTTTCTCTAGTAGCTAGTGAGATTGAGCACCTTTTTATTCATTTACTGTTTTATTTCTCCTTTTGTAATGTGTATGGGGAAGGCTGTAGACAGCAGAAGCTTTGAAGACCACAGGACACAGGCCTGTGCACCCTGGGGCCTATCAGGGAGCATGTTCCACCCGGCCCTCTGTCCTCGTGGCAGGTTCAGTGCACCCTGTCTCATAACAAGACCTCCAGGGTGAGAAAGGGAGCGAGTTTATGTCTAAGGAGCAAGAGCTGAGTTTTCTAGTTTTAAAAATGCGAACGGAAGGGTAGATCTTCTTTTCCTTCTTCCCAGCTCGCTGTTTACTCTGAGTGCACAGCTGTGACCTGACAGATGTCCTAGTAGTAAAAAGGCCCAGGCCACCTGGGCAGGCCGGGGCGCCTGCTCCCCGCTTCCTTTCTTGTCTACGCAGCCTTTTCCCCAGTATCAGTAAAGAGGGCTTAAATAATTTTTGCATCCACAAAAGATGCCTCAGCCAGTTTCTTCCCTGGTTAGTGAGGAGGCCATTCTGACATTACCTGGAGCAGTACTCCAGTGCTTTCCAGCAAGAGAGTATGCGAGATACAGAAGTGAAGAATGTTCCTGGATACTGACTATTTAATATGCAGATAGAATAGGTCTTCATTGGCAGAGTACAACCCAAGTGCTTCTATGGAGCCAGTGTAACCCTCTTTACCCTTCCACATCCTCTGCCAGGCCTCTGAAGCACTTGGGTTTGTGACCTCTGGGCCAGGCAGATGCAGAGAGCATGGGCTGTTTTGGGTGACCATTTGCCAGGGCCATCATTTCTCCCCATCTCCAGGGCCGTGTCTGAACTCTTAGGCCCCCTCCACACTGCCACCTGACTGTGTTACTTCTCTTTCTCAAATTTACCCTTTTCTCCTTCTCTGACCACATGTTACCACAGAGACCTCACCTGCCCCCGACTCTCCTTTCCCAATCTCTCTAGTGAGTTCAACCTTTAGGGCTCCTGCCTGATTCCAGAACTCCCTGCAAAGCCCAGATTTGAGGACTTGGGACCTGTGCATGCCCCTCCTGATGCTCAGCACTCCCTGTTGAGGTGGTTCGTCCATTGAGGGCAGGGCCAGGCCGGCCTTGTCCCCCTCCTGGGTGTCCCCAGTTTTAGCCCAGAACCTGGTGAGGAGCAGGCCTCATACAAGGAGCGTCTGTGTGTGTGTGTGTCTGTGTGTGTGTGTGTGTGTGCGCCTGCGAGCGCGCATGCGAGCATGCATGAATGCGTGTGTGAATCAGTGAGCTGCCTGCTCTTCACTCACTCTAGCCCCTCCCTGTTCTCCAGGCTGATCAGAATGAGCCATCAACCCAGGGGAAGACTGGGACTTTATACCTAGAACTATTCTGGGTCTGAGCAGTAGACATGAGAAATTCCTTCCTCAGCTGAAGTTCTGCACTCTTCAGAATCGGGGTGTTGAGTGGCTGAATCCAATGCTTTCTCCTCTTACAAGAATAACTGTCTACATTGGAGATAGCATTTTCAGCTCAGCAGCCAGAGCCATTTTAGGAATCCAGGGATTGAGCCCTGTATGGTTGTGCACAACTATGATCCCACCACTCTGGGTAGCTGGGGCAAGACAGTCGAAACTTCAAGACTAGCCTGGGCAACTAAGCAAGATCCCGTCTCAAAATAAAAATAAAAAGATCTGAGGATGTAGCTCAGTGGAAAAGCCTGGGTTCAAACCCCAGTACTACCAAAAAAAAGAAGAAGAAGACGGGGAAGGGGAAGGGAGGGAAGGGGAAGGGGAAGGGAAGGAAGGAGGAGGAGGAGGAGGAGAAATCCCAGGACATTAGAGGAGCAATTGCCAAAGAGGTGGTGGGCCTGGGGAAGAAGGTTGGAAATTACCAGCACACAGAAGCTGGGAGCAAAGAAAACAGTTCTTACTCTTAAGCAGTGTGTCTACAACCTACTTTTAAATGGGTCAGCAAAAGATAAATAAAAATTGCACATTTGTGTAGAGGCTGAGCATGCAAGACGGCCTCCAGTCAGTTGTTCTGGACTGGTGATTCTAGATAAGAGGCAGGCAGGTGTGCACTGTAGTGCTTTTTTTTTTTTTATTCCTACTTTTCTGTAGCCTTGATGTTTTTCAAAATAAAAAGCTAGGAAAATAGAATAAAGATCTATTGCTCCAAAAATGCCAATTAGAAATGAACGGAGGGGCTGGGGATTTAGCTCAGCGGCAAAAGCGCCTGCCTGGCAAGCGCAAGGTCGTGAGTTCGGTTCCCGGTACTGGAGAAAAACAAAAAAAAAAAAAAAAAAAAACAAAAAAAAAAAAAGAAATGAACGGAAAGCTGAAATTGTTTCACAGTTAGTTAGTTGCTGTATGTTTACACTTGCCCATTCCCCCAAAGAATCCAGGCAGATAGCAGGAAATACCTAACAGTGAAAAAATTACTAAATTAAAAAATTAGTTCCTAGGAAATTATTTATTAAATATATATGGACATACATCTCTGTGCTTGTATGAAAGCCCTCTGATGTATACCATTTTGTTCTTTTATTTTTATTTTTATTTTTTTTTTGGTTTTTCTCCGGTACCGGGAACCGAACTCACGACCTTGCGCTCGCCAGGCAGGCGCTTTTGCCACTGAGCTAAATCCCCACCCCCATTTTGTTCTTTAATAGCATATTTCAAGTATACCATTTTGTTCAATAGCATATTTCAATGAACTCTTCAGTAACAGAAGATTGTACTAATAGGTTATATACTTTGATGGTCTCCGTAGTAGTTACTCTGTAGCATACAGCATTTAATCAGAACTGTTTCGTTTGTTCATTAATTACTCTGAGTGATATCCTAGCCCTTTTATTTTTAATTTGAGACAGGGTTTGGCTAAGTTGCTAAGTTGTCCGGCTGGGCTGGAACTTGTGCTCCTTCTGTTGAACTTGTCATCCTTCTGCTTTTTCTCTCCTTATTCTGAACTCCATTGCAATGAACATCGCACACACACACACATCTTTGAGCACCTGTTGTCTTATTTCTTTTTTTTTTTTTTTTTTTTTTTTTTTCTCCGGTACCGGGAACCGAACTCACGACCTTGCGCTTGCCAGGAGTTGTCTTATTTCTTAATAAAGCTCTGAATAATTTCCCCAAGTCAAAAGATTCAGATATTTTTTTTGCGCAGTTTTTTTCTTAAATATTTTTATTGTGATAAAATATATATAACATTAAATTTACCATTAAGTTTACAATTCATTTTTATCAAGTATAATGCTGGGCATAGTGGTGCTTGCCTGTAATCCTACCACTTTGGAGGCTAAGGCAGGAGGACTGCTGTGAGTTGTAGGCCAGCCTGAACTGCATAGCGAGACCCTGTCTCAAAAAAACAAAACAACCAACCACACACACCCCCTATGTGTCTCAAGTACATTATGTTTTATATGTATAACCATCACTGTATCTATTACCAGACTTTTTTCTGTAACAGAACCCCTATACCAAATAAAACTACCCTAGTGAACCCCATCCCACTTTCTGTTTCTATGAATTTGCCTATTCTAGGAACCTCATGTGAGTAGAATTATACAATATTTGTCTTTTCATGTTGGCTTTCTTTCATTTAACATACTGTGTCTTCAAGCTTCATTCATTTTGTAGCATTACCAATCAGCATTTCACTCATTTTTAAGGCTGAATAA